ACAGGTATCTAAGCTGTGCATAATGGTTTTCAGACTGGATATTTGTTCAGTTTCAGTGACAAATAATAATAGGTTTAAGGTGATGCTGGATAATTGATCAAACAAAGAATGTACTATTTTATAGTTAGGTAGTGAAAAAATCTGTTTAATCAACAAAAGGCCCAAAGGTTCACATGCTGCTTCTTTATGCAATTCATATTTTTGTGTAAGTTATGCTTGAAAAATCATAAAGAATGACTGGAGATATTTAAGCAAAAAAAAATCCTCCACTATTCCAGTGAAGTAGGCGTTCTTTTGACTTATGTCTTAGTGAAGCAAAAGCCAAAACTTTCAAATTAGTTGAAAGGGATGTTCCCTTAAGTTAAGAGCAGTAGTATATTGTTCCCTTCAGATTCTCACTACTATCTACTAAAACGGTAGAAAGGGGATGATTCTACAACCCTCTCCATTTCAGGAAGAAATATAGATTTTTACTCAGCTGACTAAATTGTACATATTGTCACAGCTTTTAAAAGATATTCAAATTTTAAAAATACTTGTTACTTGCTTGCTTAAATTAGAGTCGCAATGGGAGCTAAAAACCTTTTATCTTATTAGAGAACTTCAATTAGACCAGTGGTTCTTAAGTGGGTGGGTGGGGGGTACTTTTCCCCAATGGAGTAATTGAGGGTAATGGAGCAATTTATAATTGAGTGTTTGTGAGTCAAGGATCCAGTTTGGAACTGATGCTGCCAAGATTTGCCTGTGTAAAACAACAATCTGAATTTTTTTTGTGGGGATAGTGACATTATTTGGAACAGGTAAGAGAAGTAATTGAATCAGTTTAAGAACCATTGAGTTAAGCAGTGACCAGCACATTCCTGCTTTTATTAGATTTTTATCCCGCTTTTATTACTTTTATAAGTAACTCAAGGTGGTGAACATACCTAATACTCCTGTCTCTTCCTCTTTTCCTCAACAATAAAAACTCTGCTAAGTAGGTTGGGCTGAGAGAGAGACTGGCCCATATCTGCTTTCTGTGTGCCATAGGTATAAGAGGCTGTATAGAGTAATATTAAAAGTCCAATTATGTGTTTATTTTGTACACCCAACTCTTCTACAATCATGAGCTGGGTTGACCTGCTTGAAACATGACATTTTCATTTGCAGTTCATTTGTCTGTGCTAATACTACATGTTTGATTTATGTTCCTTTTAACTGCCTTTAACTAAATGGTCTTTAGCTTCCAAATTCATTTCCCCAAATATAACGTCCCCACAAAATCTTGATCTCAGGCTTTATCTATGAAGCTTTTATATTTGCAAGAAGAGTCGTTTTTGGCCCTTGGACAAGAGAACATTTTGCCACCCTAGTTTGTTTTTTCACATAAACTCAAAAGGTATAGGTATTTTATATAACTGATACAAACTGACTCAGTCACTTTCCAGGTTTTGCATTAAGTTTGTCTCGGGAATTTTCACTGTTGTTCCAACTTAGCTACAATTCTGTTTGTCATCAAATAAACAGTTTGGATCACTGAGTCCAGCAATTGTGATTGTGGAAATTTGCTACAGAGTTTGCCTTTCAAGAATACATTATTCCATTGTTAAATATACTAACTACATTTATAGAAAGTTATATGGATCAAATCTGTAGATATTAAAAATTGAAATAAAAATGGACAAGGCCTAAAAAGGTAGAATGCCAAATTTCTGTGATGTTATTTCAAATTGCTCCAATACAGCAGTACCTTTATATTTCTCAATTATAAGCTAATATATTTACAAGCAGTGTTTGTAAATGACATTTTATTTGCCTTTTCAGTTACATGTGAATTAAGGTAAATGTTCCGTTCAGTCTAATTCAGGAGAATAACATTTTAACTTGTAACAGATTTAGCAAATGTGTGAAAGACCTTATTTTTCACAATACGTATTTTGTGGAAGAAACTGAGTTGGATTGTTTGTTGCATTGCCACACCTTGATGTTGTGCTAGGTTTACTGGTTCTGGTACAATTTTCACATTGCATGTTCATTTTATTCTTTGAGTATTACCAGTTTTCAATAGTGAATTGTAATCACAGCAGCAATCTTATGGATTCCTTTAAAATCAAACTGCTTAGGTAATTCAGTAATGTGGGAAATGCTTGTGGTTGGCAAATTGTCAGGACTTTTAATTTATCAGTACTTTTTTATATAAAATTGAAGAAAATTGTTAACTTATTTGAAACCTGTGGTGTTTTCTGTAAGTGTCACGCTTGTTAATAAATTTAGATAAATAATGAATTATAATAATCTTATCAGACTACTACATTTAGTTACATCTAAACACAAATTGTTCAATGAATGAAACAATTTTTGCAAACTATTTTTGTTCTTCCCTTCAGATTCACCAGAAACCTTAAAATTGATATTTTTAATCAATCAAAAAGCAAACATTAAAAAACTTTGCATCGTTACTACAACTAGTCTTATTACCAGCAACGTTTTAAAGAGATAATATTCCTCAGTGGTTAAAACTAGGTTATAAAAAAAACTATTGCTGAAAACATCTTGGTATGATCTGCTGTCAGACCATGTTATTAAATTTGCCAATTTGTACACATGTGTTTTCATATGTGCAGTCCTCATACGAGACAAGTTAACCTTGAATGATACTAAAGAATGAGGGTAAAGAAACCATAGCTTATTCAAGAAAACTTGACTACCCTCCATGAAACATATTTAAAAGTTCAGATGAAAATTCAAAAAGGTTACATAACAGACTCTGCAAATGAGATAAGTGATGTCTAAATTGGATAAATAAAAAAATTAAATAACACCCCAAATTAGAAAATAGAGAACCCCTTTAAACTGTATAACAGTACAGAAAAATTATCAGGAAAGAAACTTGAAGGAAGCTTCCAACCAGAGTAAAGCTGGTCATTCTAGCTAGCTTAAAATCCTGTTGGGGATTCCAGATGCATTTTAATATGCCATTGGAAGAAGTCCTGTTTTTAATATGAGAGAAGATGGAACACCTGGTAAATGAACTATAACTTCTGAAAGTTATGGTTATTGGGGCCAAATGTTCTGCTACCAGAAATTGTGATTCAATAATACTTGGTGGGCTATAGCTACCTCACTTTTGCCTTAATACTGGAGCTATGCCCGAAACAGTTTTTTTCTTGAGATGTTACCAAAGTAGTAATACGGTTTACATTCCATTCTAAGACAAACTGACAAAAAGTGTCACTGATTTTCCGTTATGTATTTCTTATTATTTATGTCATGCCTTGTAGGCTAAAAGTATTCCCAAAAAGTTTACAAATAATATGGATTGTAAACAAAATACACAGTTAAAAGCAAGTAACAGACAGCTGCCCTGTTTATAGGGTAGTTAATGGCTTTGCGGGACAGTAAGAAGAATCCAAGCTGAGATTTCTGGGATGTTCTTCGCTTGCCTCCCTCAGTAGTATTTCCTATATTTCCCATAGTATTTTCTATTCATAACAGAATAGGAAAAACATCGTACCGCCATCTTGCTTGAGATAAGGAGGACTTCTCACTTGGCATTCTAAGTATTCTAACTTACTTTTCTGAGAGCAAAATCTATTTGCAACACTGTGTATCTTCACTTAGCATTTGAAAAGGCTGTCTTGAATGTCAGCAAGTGCCCTAACTTTTCCTTAGCTAAGTAGCAAGCTGGTTGTGTTCCAGCAATCTTTTTTTTTGTGTGCGATACTGCAAATGTATTAGCAGCAGCATAGGAAGGTATTCTGAGGACAAAGAGAATGCTTTTCTGTGTCCCAGAAATTTGAAACTTTCCTGGAAGTCAGTGTTTAGGACAGAATATACTGATCCTATTGGAAGTGCACATCTCAAATATGACCCACAGCAGCTCTATTTTGATAAACTAGTAGAAATATTTTTGTGGTGCCTTATAACTTTTTCATGTGAGAGTGTTTGCAAACTGAAATATAAAGTAGATAGGTTGTAGAAACAATTAAATGGAGAGCTTCCATGTGGTGAGGAGAATGTGGGGGAAAAGTCAATAGGGCTGTGCTTATTGGCACCACCACTGCATCTAGTGGGCTGTTCCAATTGCTTTGTTAGTAGGCCAAACTATGTTAATTCTCAAACATAAGCATGTCATTTTTTAAAACTGCATTTTTGGTCCAATTTGTACAGGGCTTAAGATCATTTATGCATTTGCATGGGCCACAAATACATGTGTTAACCTTCCTGAAGGAAAATTATTAGAGATCGACCAAGACCTGGGTGAACATTTCAAACTATCTGTTGGCAGATTTAATGGAGGAAGTCCAAGAATAAAGCGTTAGAAGAAAACGTCGGAAGTATCTTGGACCAGGATTTTTAAAATGCTTAGGGTCGCCCCTCACCCCCTCCCTGCAACATTGTGATGCACTTTACAGGCAACAGGATGAATCTGAGTTAAGTGTGGAACTCTAGGTTGGCTAATAGGATGATCTACTTATAGAAAACGGCACAGAATAGAGTTAAGGGAACGACCATAACACCGCCTGCTCCTCTAGGCATAAACAATTACAGAAATTATGAAACAAAATCTCTTATGGCAAGTATGCTGAGCTGATATAAATCCAAGAGCCACGCCTTTCAATATTAATAAGAATACTTAAAAAAAAAAACCTGTGAAAAGAGGTGGAAAAAAAAAAAAGTTCTGAGAGCTTGCGGCAGTTTGCACTCCCACTTGGCGCGGCAGCAGATTTCCTTCCCTGCTCCGGCCTTGTATAACGGCGGCGCCAAGTCTCCTCCCAGACGGCTCCTCAAGCCAGCGGCGTTTTCCACGCGGGCACCCACCTCTCCGGCGGCGCCGGCGGCTCCTTTTAAAGCCGCGCTTCCCTCCTCAGTTGCTCGCCGCGCTTTTGCCAGGCAGGGCTTCCAACTCCCGGCTCTCCCCGCGCGCGCCAGGACCCTCCTTCCCCACCTCGGCCGCGCCGTCCCAGTCCGTTGCGCGTGTTTCGCTCGCTGCGCTTTCCGCGCCTTCTTGTGTGGAAGCAATGAAAGCCTCTCTGTGGCCTTTGGCGCCAAGCGGCTGGTGGCCGTGCCTCTTCTTGCTCCTGCTCCCGGGCAGCTTGGCTCAAGTCTTCGGGCGACGTTACGAAGAGCGGGCTTGCCCCGACCGCTGCGACCACTCGCGGTGCCCCGAGGTGCCCGCCGAGTGCGCGGGAAGCGGGCAGACGCTCGACTCCTGCGGCTGCTGCCCTGTGTGTGCCGCGCAGGAGGGCGAGTCTTGCGGAGGGTCGCCGTACGGGGAGCCGTCGTGTGCCGAAGGGCTGTTCTGTGTGCTGTCGCCCGGAGGACCCGGAGTGGCGGCTTCGGCCACGGTGCGCCGGCGAGCCAAAGCCGGCCATTGCGTGTGTGCCAGTACCGAGCCGGTGTGTGGCACCGATGGAAGGAGCTACCGCAACCTGTGCCAGCTGCGGACCGCTAGCCGGCTTTCCGAAAGCCAGCATCAGCCGCCCGTCATCGCCATCCAGCGGGGCGCCTGCGGTCAGGGTGAGCTTCGCTCGGGAAGGCGGCGCGCCTCTCTCAACTTACTTTTGCTGCTAATTCCGCGCGCCTTCGTCGGCTCTCGAAATGCGTTGGACTGCAACATCCATAAATATTGGGATAGGGGACATTTGGAGTCCAACGTATTTGGAGAGGACATAGGATAGCGAAAGCAAATTGCCATTTTCTTCTTCTTCTTCTTCTTCTTCTTCTTCTTCTTCTTCTTCTTCTTCTTCTTCTTCTTCTTCTTCTTCTTCTTCTTCTTCTTCTTCTTCTTCCTCCTCTTCCTCTTCCTCTTCCTCTTCCTCTTCCTCTTCTTCCTCCTCTTCCTCTTCCTCTTCCTCTTCTTCTTCTTCTTCTTCTTCTTCTTCCCAAATCTAATTCCCACCCTGCGCGTTATCTGGTACTGAGTTAGATTTGTTAGATCTCTCCGTCGCTTTTTTTTTTTTTTTAATAATCTAAAATGCTATTACTGTGCTAACTTACTTATAAAACTTAACGTACTCTTTTTTCTTCTTTGCTGAAGAAGGGAGGGGAAGATTTGGGCTGGGCATGAAATCCTAATTTCTTAGGAATTTATCTTATTCCCAAGATAAAATAATTTAGAAATGTTATCTTGCGTATTTAAATGATAACAAAACAACAATTTTTCAGTGCTGAGGGGAATTTACACTTCTGGTTTCCAAGGTATCAATAATAGTTGTGTCCCTGACCTACTAGGAAGAAAAAAAAAAGTAGATAGTTAGGGATGCAGCATAGTTCAGGAATGCTGAATGGGCCTGGCTTGGGTCATGGAAGAAGCAGACAGATGGAGGACATCTGTATGAAAAAAAGAGACTGTTCCAAGGAAAGAAGACAGCAAATTAGATAAGATGTAATAGTGAAAGGAAAGTGAAGGAACATCGCAGCTTGGAAAGAGAGAATCCGGTTTGGTTAGGTGAGAATAGAAGAGTTAGAGTAGACCAAGCTTTTAACTAGTTATGTACTAGGCGAATATCTGGCTGTGAAGAATGTGATTTGGTGATTTGTTTGATTTGGTCATTTTGAAAGCAATAGAATAGATTTTATTCTTCCCATTTTACACAGGTACAATATAAACTCTGTTATATATTAATAAGAGCCCCTGTTGATTTTTTCTTGCATGTTGAGGAATGTTGTTTTGGTCCAGGCAGATGTGATTTTTTCTTGTGTTTTTAATATATGTTTTGGATTTATGTATAGCCATGGTGGAAGTGGGTGGTATAACAAATCCAAATAAATAAATAAGAGCATATTAATACTATATAATTTATACATACTTACTTGTAAGTGTTATTTTTAGCCCAATTCAAAGGCATATGTTAATCCAGGCTGGGTTTTTAAGTGCCCACTGTGTTTTATAGTGTTTACTGTGAGTCTTCTTATGTTGATTTATTTTGTAACGATGTAGGCTATTTTAGGATTACTTTGAATGGAAGAATAAGCTAAATAAATAAACAAATGTCTACTTAGAAGTCCAGATGTGTTCTCTAAGTCTTACCTCCTGGAAAGTATGTATAAAATTGCACCCCTAGTTCAGTTGTATGTAATATTTTGTATGACTCAAAAGTCATCATAGGTCAGAATCCATAATGATCATACATAGCAAATTTTTAAAAACAATCTTGGAGGATAAGCATGAGCATTGGCAGCCAAACAATTTTTTTGTTTGCATAGGAAATCATGAGTACAAGAACATTTTTTCTAGGGAAGGAAAAGTGAATGGGTGTACATTTTTAACAGAACAACAGGCAGCTGGAAGGAGACAGGTTAAGCAGTTATTGCTCATTTACTTATACTTGCAGGGCCTATGGTTGCTTTTCATAAAAAAATTGGAAGACTTTTGTTTATCTGGGTAAAACATCTGGTTTGGCTTTTACAAATAATTTCCTAGAGATAAATATTTACTTTGATGAGACTATGACGGAAAAAACAAGAGTTTTGCCCCTCACTAGTCTTTTTACCTGCTTAGGCCACAATCCAGTTAACATTAACCTAAGAATAAATCCCAACAACAGAAGATTTTCTAAAGCTGGATCAAGCTAATAGACTCAGTCCTATGCATAATTGTAAGCACAGGGTCAAAGTAGCTATGGTGGGCAAATTGGAGAAGAAGTGAAATCCTGTTCTATTTCCTATGTTGTTTCATTTAAAATATAATTTTCCGGTCTTTTTGATGCCTCCTTTATGTTTATGTAAATCTCATGAGGGAAAAAATAATAATAAAATATAGCTTGGAATGGGAAACTGTAATGGGGAGAAAGTTCATATGTGGCCCTTGCCTTTTGGTTCATCCCATTCTCTCTGTTTTATAGGTAATTGGCAGGGTCCAAATTGGCTTGTTTACACAACTTTTTCCTTCATAGTTGAAACCTGATTTCATATATATTCTTAGACTACTCAGTAATATGCAATAAACCCTTCTTTTTACAGACTTGAAAAAATTAAGTCTCAAATTCTAGATTTTAATCATTTCAGTCTAGAATTGAACTGTGCACTCTGAATTCAGAGTTTATGTGACTCTCTCTTATACTGGTGTAGCTTTAATATTATTAATATACATTTATTTATTACTAAATGTCCTTGATTCTAACAATTTTTGGTAAATTTAACCCTGATTCCAACAGCAGTTTTAGGGTTTGCTATATACTATAGCTGTTACAGATATGGGGATCATTTCTTGGCAATGCTATCATTGTTTTATCAAAAAGTAATCCATTTAGCACGATAATGTTGTCACAAGATGTTTGTAAATTCAACTTTAATTTTAAAAAATGCCGATTCTTTGTAAAAGAGTAATCCTGAGAAATGGCAGCAAGAAACAGTGTGATGCACTGGCCAGAAGAGACTTGGATTTGCATCCTGCTTGGCCCCCAAATTATCTGGATGGTCTTAGAGTTAATACTTTTCTTAATGCCCACTAATTCTTTAATACTCATTCATCTTAACCCTAAATTTAACCCTATTCTATTTAATGATGATGAACAGTTAATCTACTTCCCAGAGCTTTTTTTTTTTTTTAACAAAGATGATAATGAAAGAATCCCTGTTTGCTCAGGAATTGCATTCCAAAAGAAGCAGTCTTTTGCTGCTTATCCAGCACACCTTCCAGGTCTGACCATTGGTGAATCCTGCCATTCACCACTAATTTTTGTTTGTTTTGTTTCTGGAGGCCTCATTTTTTTTGTCCTTCATTGCACTCAGCAAAATCTTCCTTCTAGCTGGCATTCTCAGCTATGGTGTTTCTCCATACCTTTAGAGAGCATCAGTCCATCATAAGTCCCCATTGGAAGTTGACATTGCAAGTAGTATCACATAATGTGCCCCTGCAGATCTGTCAGTCCCCACAAAATTCACCCAATTTTTATTTGCTGAAAACTCCAACCCCTTGTATTTCTTCTCTGGCTGTCTTCTGCCTCCTTTCAACATGTCACCAGACATCAGGAAAAACATTCCCCAGTCAAACCACTCAGCAGGAATGAGTTTCACTTATGGTATTTAGCTGTTCTGTTTGTTAACTTCCCACAGACCATTGGAATTTTTGATTAGCTAAATATTTCAGATATATGTATTTTTAATTTTTAAAAAAAATATATATACTTGAAGACACCAGTGAGGAGGCAAAAACAAAAGTCCACTTCATATTTTTGGATCTTCTTTTGTATATTGGAGTGAGAAAAGCAGGGCTGCTGTAAATTAAGTTCTGGGTTTGGACTTACATGTTTATGCCAATAATGAAACAGGGAGAATGAAGCTTTTTAAGTCTTCTCATTCTGTTTACAGCTCTCAGTAACTGTTTAAAAATTCCCCTTGAAGATTGGAGAAATGAAAAAAAAATAGTTGGAGGAAGTAGATAACAGGATTGTCAATAGAAATCCTCCCCTTTCTTATACAATATATAACGTTCGCCAGTTGATTTCTATTAACTGTATGATTTTCAATATTTTCCAAGTTTTTCAAAGTGTTACTGATTTTCTTGACCACTTATCCTTCCCAGCTATGATGCAAATTACTTGATGAAACTGGTGATATTTTTGGAATAAATTTTTGACCCAGTTACCCAATTCCTAGATTTCCTGATCAGGTTTGCACATTTCTTTTTTATTTTCCCTGGACTGTTTTGCTCCTTTGATTGGAAAGTGTATGTTTTGGCTATCTGCTAATTAGGAACGTTTGGGGAATATAGGCATGCATTTCCTTTGGCTGGTGCTTTGTCTGCATGTCAGTAGGAAAAGGCTGGAAAAACAGATCTCCTAATGCAGCAAAAATAACTGCAGAAAAATAGGTTAGAGTTATTAACTATATAAGGCTCTCAATAGAAGACTTTGCTGAACAAAAGGTTGAGTCAGAGTTTGAAACATAATAGAATGTAAGGGCTGAAATGCAGTTGGAGATCATCTAGTCTCCAACCACCTGCCCAATACAAGAACTCATTAATGCGGTATTCTCATCAGAAGTCTGTTCAGTCTCAGCTTCAATACTCCCAAGAGAGTCTATCACATTCTGAAGCAGTCTGTTCCATTGTTGAACAACTTTTACTGTTAATATTTTTGCAGGTATCCAATTGGAATCGGTGACTGGCCCAAATTGGATCTTGCAACATTATTCTGGGATAAATATATTTGCCTTATTTGTAAGGCACTAAGAAATTTGGGGCAATCATACCCTATTTGGTTTTTAAAATAAAATTAATAATATTTTGAATTGAGCTTGCAGTTGTTCCTATAAAGATAAAATCAGATAAACGTGATCAACATCTTGGAAAGATTTCTTAAGATGTTTCCTATGGTTAACTTAATAACATAGCTGAACAAAATAGACCTTTGGAGCCATTTTAAGGTTCATTTTTCTTTGCTCTCCTCCCATGCTTAGGAGTGGTTATTAAGACAGATCCTCAATAATGAGCCACAAAGAGTATCATACGACTGTTCCCCCTTTTCTCTCTCTTGTTTGATGCATTTTTAACTCTGCACTTAATTAATGATGAA